GCCCTGCCTGCCCTCCTGGGACCCGGCCGGCCAGAGACGGGGCAGGCCGCGGCGTCTCGTCATCGGACAGCCAGGACGGCCCGACGCTCCTCTTACCCACGAGCACAAACGCCGCAAGCATCAGTCCGACGTTCGGACTTGGGCCCTCATCGGGAAGTGGTGGCCCGGCGTCCTAGTCGCGTTCCATATGTGCTGACTTTTCCTGAGTCGGATGGTGCTGCTGTATGACTCGCTAAGTAGCTGCCGGAACAGCAGAGCATAGGTAATAGGCCAGGGATATTCGGGTGAAAATTGTTGGACCTTTTCAACATGTTGCACAAAGCTAGATGCGCTTTCGATGCCATATATCTCAAAAGTTGTAACCTTAACAGTAATTGTAAATCTTCTATTCATTGTAAAATATGCATTGCATTGTTCATTATTGCTACAGATTTAGGCACTCAGAAAATAAACCCACGGGGCTGGGGATTTTGCTCAGTGGTTCCGCTGCCTGCCTAGCAAGTGCAAGGACCCGAGTTCAATCCCCGGTACCAAAAAAAGAAAATAAACCATGGCTGTAGCATCTTGTCTTAAACGCTGAAATCAAGGCTACACAATAGTGTGCTAAGAAACTTTCTTAAATCTTTAAGATTTGTCAGTATGTTGTCAGAGAATGAAGTGTCCATTTCCAGAGTGTAAATGCTTTCATTGGAACAGCCTAATTACTACTGAGGACAGCTTGAATGTTTCATTCTTGACGATTGTTTGTATTAAACATTTTTGCTGGGTCCTCAGTTTCAGCTGCTATTGTAATTACCGAGTGTCTTGGGAATATAAGGTCCTTCCTTTCTTTGAGTTGAAGATTGGCCGCAGCTGTCCGGGGCTGGTGGCCTGGACGCCACCCCCACCGGAGGAAATGTGCACAGTCATGTCTGTGCCCTGTGGGCCAGGTCACCTGTTTCTTCTGTTTGGAAGAACAGTTAGATGACCTGAAAACTGGGTGATTGTGTACCTACCTAATTGAGTGTTCAATCAGAGCCAAAGTACTCAGCTAAAAATACTTCTGAGGCTTACAGTGGGTTAGCCTGTTACCTCAGGGGAATTGAGGTAGGAGCTGGAGCCAGGTGGCTGTCTCGGTGCCTGGGTAGTGTGTGCACCTGGGTTAAGTGAGAAGTCAGGCAGACCCCTGGGTTTTGTTGGAATACTAATTAAATATGCACACAAAACAACTTGTATAAGCTCCCATCCCTTAACTTTTATACCACTCTAAAAGTACAATACAGACAAGGCTGTTTCGTTTGGCTGGTATTTTACTAAACTGAGTCCCCAGGGGGCGGAGTGGATGGGAGCAACTGCTGAAGGGCCAGCCTTTGGGAGAGTGAGCAGTTGTCTCCCCTGGCCATGTGGTGACTCGGTTTCCTTTTTAAGGATGAGCTCTGAGGTCACTTAACTCCCTAGAGTCACAGGTAGTTTCCTTTTGTTGTTGCTGTTTCTGTCTTGTTGTTGTAATAATCGTTATTGGGCATGGAACTCAGGTCCTTGAACTTGCAGGTAGGCAGCAGAACCACTGAGCTAAATCCCTGGCCCACAGATAGTTTCCTTTTAACCCAGCTCCATTCTTCTCTCTCTGGCCTGGACAGTTAGAGCCTCTCTGAGCCTCTGTCCATGGAGCCTCCAACCTGCAATCCTGGGTCGCCCCTTAGAGACAGAAGGCATTACAGAGCCCCCAGGTATGCTATTCTCCATGACTGCTGGTGGAAACAGCACTGAAAAGTTTCTGAAGCGACCTGGTGGGTCTGCAGCTATGGACTGTGACCCTAAGCTCAGAGTGGCCAGTGCACTGGCTCTGGGGTGGGAAGAGGTGACGGAACTGCAGGCTGACAGGGGTCACTTTTGCTCCCTAAGGGCAGCCGAGGCTCAGGGTCCCTGGGCGCTGTGTCCACCCCCAGAGCACTGGCAGAGGCCTGCAGTGCCAGGAGCCTTTTGATGGAGCCTTTTCCAAGTGGGCTTCTGGATGAACGGCAGTGAGGAAAGAAAGGTGTGGCCTGGCCATGTGGTATGAGAGCCTCACCTTAGGCACAGTTGGGAAAACCAAAGGGTGCGCGTGCATGTGCGTGTGCACGCAGTTGTGTTAGTGCATGTGTGTGATATTGCAGTTTGTAATTTTCTTAAGGATTTCAATAGCAGGCTTTCTAGAGGTATAATATTAGAGACTAAGTTAGATGTCTTGGAAAGGGTAACAGAACTGTCAGTTAAAATATTTCTATCAATTAAAGGGCTTCTGCACCTGGTGGAAGAGGAAGAGAACTGCTGTTACCTGAAGTACGTCCTGTGCCTTACAACCATGCTTTAGTACAAAACTTAATCCTGCTCCTTCCGCTGCCTCTCCAGAGGCAGTGTTGGCCTAGTGTCAGGAGACGTAGGTCAGCACTGAACCACTTAGCTGGTGACCTCAGGCAAGTCCTGGAGTGTGTTGAGGTCTGGGGCAGGTTTGCCTGCTGGGTGTTGGTCACAGGCTGGGTCCCGCCTTCTCAGCTGGCACTCTGGTGCCTTTCTCCATCTCCCCAATGGTCTCCCAAGCTCCTCCTCCCTGTACCCACGCAGTTTCCAAGCCAGACTTTTCTTGGTGCTTCTTTCATCCCTAGACAGAACCTTATTGCCAAGCCCTTGTGTGTCAAATCTGTGCCTTCCCTGCAACCCCTAACACAGGGTCCTGGATAAAGCAGATGGTGTCATCCAGTTGGGATTTTTGGTTAAATGGGACAGGAAAATACAAATAGTAGTTTAAATGAGATAGGAGTTACTCTTGTGCTGAAGCATCCTGAAGGCGCCCAGGCTGGGAGGTTGGCCCCAGGGGCCAGGGACCAGGCTCCTTCTGTGTTGCTGCTGCTCTGTTCCCAGCACATCAGCCTCCTGGTCCATTGTGGCTGCCTGAGCTCCAGACATCTTATTCTCATCCAGCCACTGAAAAGGTTGAAGAGGCCAAGAGATGTGTTTGCTCCCTTGTAGGAGAGACACTTCCATTTTAGCCAGAACTGGGTTACTTGGTCTTAACTGGCTGCAGGGGAGTCTGGGGAATGTGGTTTGTAACTGGGCATATTACATTTTCTAGTAAAAGTGATAGGGGAGAAGGGAGGGTGGATGGATGGTGATGTGCCTGCCTTACCGACACAAATCTCTTCACACACGCTCATTGTGAGCAGTGTGTGACTCCGTTATACCTGAGTGGTAATGGTGAATAGGAGTCTCTCTTTGTTTCCAGATTTGGAAAACTTGCAGTTCATATGGGCAGTTTCTGGGGCAGGTTTTTTTGGTTTTTTGTTGTTGTTGTTGTTGTTGGACAGGGTCTCACTGTACAGTTGAGACTGACCTGGAACTCACTATGTAGCCCAGGCTGGTCTCGAACTCACAGCTATCCTCCTGCCTCAGCCTCCCGAGTGCTGGGATTACAGGTGTGCGCCACCACGCCCGGCTCTGGGGTAGTTTTGATGACCCCCTTGGTCCCAGGAAGACATGACTGAGCTTTCGTGAGAGGAGCGTGCTGGCTGGGCTGTGTTCTGGGCGGCCGGAGGGAGCCGGGAAGTCAGCAGGGCTGCCCCATGGACTGTGATGGGGCAGGCAGTAGGGCACCTGGAGGCCTCGAGCCCTTCCTCCAAGCATGCACCGGCTGCCGCTGCTGATGCCTGCTGGGAAGGGCAGTGCCAGGAGGCCTTCTGTATGTACGAGCTTATAACCGGCACCCGCTAGCCTAATTCACAAAAACACACGTGTGTAAATGAACACCGATGAATGTTGGGCCCTGTGCTAGGTACATAGTAGACAGAGGAAGTTCTGGGAAATGCGTGCATTTTAAAGCTGTACCTTATTTACACTGATGTTCTTAAGTTTCCAGGTTTTGTTTCCCTGGACTTTTGTCCCAGAGCTCACAGTTCAGAGTTCTGATAGTGCTTCTCCACACCACCCGACCAGAGGTACTGGTTTAGAAACCACTTGACTAAGTAAACCACTGCCGCCCAACCTATTTCTGAAATGTAGCAGAGCCGGGCTTGGTAGCTCACTCCTGTAATCCCAGCACTCCTGAGGCTGAGGCAGGAGGATCGCTGTGAGTTCGAGACCAGCCTGGGCTGCATAGTGAGTTCCAGGTCAGTCTCAACTACATAGTGAGACCCTGTCTCAACCCCCCACCCCAAAAATAATAATAAAAATAAAATGTACCAGTGTGTAGCACAGTTTGCTTGGAGAGTAAAATTTCAAAACCAGATTTGAGGGGCAGGGGATTTAGCTCAGTGGTTCTGCCGCTTGCCTCACTAAGCACAAGGGCCCGAGTTCAATCCCCCATACCCAAAAAAAAACAACCCCAAGACTTGATTTTTTTTTTTTTTTTTTTTTTTTTTTTTTGAGAGAAGGTCTCAACTGTGTAGTCCAGTCTGTCCTCAAACTCTTGGGGACCCTCCTGAATGTTGGAATTAACAGCTGTGCACTACCATGCTTGACAATCCAGATGTGACTTTTAAAAAATAATTTCTTAGATTTGTTCTTTCTCCCTTCAGGAAACAAATAGCTTTGTTTTCTATTTCACTAATTTTTTCTGCATTTTGTTTGAGTTCCTTCTTTGTCTCCTTGTGTTCTGGCTGAGCTGATATGATACGCAAACCTTTCTGTTTAGTTCTTCTTAAAGGTTTTTTGTTTGATTGATTTGTTTTTTGTTTTTGGTACCGGGGATCGAACTCTGATCCTTGCACTTACGAGGCAGGCAGCGGAACCACTGAGCTAAGTGCCTGGCCACCACTTAAAGTCTTAACCTATGTGTTAACTAGACAAATGTAAAATGAATATTGTAAACTTCTAAATGATACAAGGTCACAGAGCACTTGAACCCTAAAAACGCTGTGATGCTATACAGTGTTTTTGTTCTCTCTTGGGGAGGCGTAGGGCAGTTTGCCTGCCAGGGACTGAACTCAGCCTCACATGGTACCTCTCAGATCAGATGTACAAGTCATTGATGTTTGAGTTGCTAGGTTTTTCTGTTGTGTTTGGTTTTTGTTTTGCATGCTAGGGATTAAGTCCAGTGTCCGCATCCCTTTTCTTGTTTTTTATTTTTGAGGCAGGGTCTCACTAAGTCACTAAATTGTTCAAGCTGAGCTCAAATTTTCCATCCTCTTGCCTCAGCCTCCTAGAATGCTGGAATTACAGGCATGCTCCACCATGCCTGGCTATATTTTCTTTAGTATGAGCCCTTGAGGGACACTTATGTATCCTAGAAGTTTTGATAATTTGTATTAT